AGCTCGTCGTCTTGCTCGTTTACGTACAATAGCCTCGCAAGACAGATCGAAAGTTCGTTATGACAGCAAGCACCGGCAGGCCACATATATTCCGGGAGATCTCGTGTTGGTGTGGAAGCCTTTACGCAAACGTGGCTTGTGCCAAAAACTGCTCGCGCACTACATCGGACCTTTTGTTATCCTTGACCGCCTGAGCGCAGTCGACTACCGCATCGCACGTCTTACAGCTAGCGGGAGACGTTCCAGAAAGACAGAGGTCACGCATGTCGCTCGCCTGAAGCCTTTCAGTCAACGCGACACTGCATGAAACGCGCGGCGCGCTTTGTCTGCGAGGGGGGAAATGTTACGCCACGTATGTGCCGGACGAAGAAGGAAAAAGAAGCAAGAGGTGTGGAAGAAGAAGATCATCATCTGCCTGCGCCGATACGCCTCGTCCCTCGAACCGTGTATCAATAAACCCCCAGACGCCTACTGAGGTCGTAACAATATATATATATATATATATATATATATATATATATATATATATATATATATATGAAGTATGAAATACTAGAAACAATTACCATTGTTTATCTGAATGGCCATTAGATTATGTTTTCAGTGGCTTCTAAGTCACGTAAGAGTGATACGAAGCGAAATTGCTGGCAAGTTAGCCACTGCAGAAGACAAAAATTTCACTTGACCCCAGTGCCCGTTTATTTCTCAGAAAGCAAGAAGGTTCTTGTTGAACTGTGCCACAAATTATGCAAAGACGCTTAGTTTGACAAAACTGCAAAGTCTTCACTCCTTTAGCAAATAGATTTTTCTCTCCGGTTTTCACCAATTCAAAAGATCGATAGACATTAGTTGACTGAAACTTCATTCCTTTCTTTTCGATGAAAAATCTGTTGCTAGTCAGCACTTCTGTGTCTCTTCTTTGGTATCGCCATCTTGAATTTGTACTGCACGTACTTCATCATCGATAGACCATTAGACACACTACTGCGCCATTTACGATTAGGTGTTGCAAACACATCTCACCCTTTATGTCACATAAAAGAAAAAAAAAACGTCCCCACACTGCGACCACTGTGATAATGTCGACGCGTCAGAGGAGCATGTTATAAAATGACCGCTATATGATGACCGAACAACGTGGCAAACTGAGTGATCGCTTCAAGCTACTCAACATACGGCCATTTACGATTGGAAAATACTTGAACCATGTCCACAATCGGATAATCAAAGTCGTGCAGTGAGCACCCTCCGTGACTTTTTACTGGACAGAAATCTGTCTTGAGTTCATATATACCTTACCACTATTTGTAAGGACTCTATCCGCGATGTGATCCCGATACATAAACTGGACTATGCTGTACATACTGTGCTCATTCATGCACTATAAGCCCTATAGTGAATATAGTATGTACATAGTGCAAGTGATTAATTTTTTTTCTTTTTTTATTGTTCCTATTTTTTGTTTATTTGTTTATCTTGTACAATACTGTCATGATCTTGGGATAGCTGGCACTAACGCGTATGCTTTTTTATGTTTTGTGAAATACAAAAAGTCACAGCTTTGCCGCTAACGCGAAGCAATGAACGCGATAGACACAGTTGGACAAGTCACGCGCAGAATGAAAAGCAGATCGAAACGTGCCCCGCGTTTCTCACGCACAATATACGCACGAAACGTACTCATAGGTACGAATACACGCGAATAAGCGTCTCATTTGTTACTTCACTGAGTCTGAAAAGTTCGTGCTTTTCGCGAATGGAGATTAATGATTGCAGTGACCTTTGTGCGCCCGGTAACTTCAGCAGAGTCGTTCCACGTAAAGGCCGAGGCCAGCCAAAACGTACAATTCCTCCCCTCCTCGCAACCGCGAGATAAGGGCGCGTGAGGAGCGTCGCTCCTCTTCTCTAAGCCGGGCAAACTACGCGTAGGAGATCAGAGCGGGTGCCGCTGGGCGATGTGGCGACGTGCGCTCATTGCGCCATCTTTCTGGTCATGCCAAAAACACAGAAGTGGTAAGTGGTATATTTAAATAGCTTGCCATTTGAGTGGTTTAGAACGTTATTTGGGGTTGCTCAGAGGTTAACGCCTCGCTCTCACGACGCAGAGGTCTCACGTTCGATTCCGTGCGCCGGAGTGTTTGTATTCTGTTTTTCTATCTTTCTTGCGTTTTCACATATACAGAAACGTATACATATGCAGTACATGACATCGACGCCGCCATTGACGCCAGCTGCAAAATCCAGCCAAGAGTGTTCATGTAATTGCTATCACAATAATAAGAAAAAAAAGCAGTCTTCAGTTAGTTTACTTGCAGCGCGCCAATATTGCCCTTCAAGGACAATAACTGACGACTTGCTACCAGCAAGCCCACATCGCTTCCTTTGTAAACGATGAAGCAGTGTTGTGACAACCCACTGACTGGTCCGTATTCCTAAGACTCCTTAAAGTGAACGATGTCACTGCTATTGCTGAGAGACACTTGATTGTGATTTGAGTGCTTCTATGTACTTGAAAATGACCTCGCCACAAGTCATTCGCGCCCGTCGTCTGTTTTACCCAACAATTCAGCAATTATAAAGAAAGTTTAATAAATTTTCGTTAATATGCTGGCCCGGGCACCACACTCTACTTTTCCTTGTGGCACTCACATCATCTTTCACAATTTATTTCTTACTTCATACTATCCAACACTCTTCAATCCACTCTACGACACCCCACCTGATTCTTCCGCCAAACAACATATTACTATTCTTTACTACTTTCTAAACCGTCTATAACTTTCTTCTCACCCACATCCTCTACCTTATCCTTCATCCAAATTTGAAACCTTAAACCTGCAGTACAGTAGAGGGGCAGGTGTGCCTCTCTTGGCCCCCCCCACATCCTGTCGGAACTGCAGTAAAATCCAGCCAGTGGAGCTGTGTTTTGCTGCTGGTAAGAACTAAGCCATATGGCTAAAATGGCAAGCTGAATTGCCGCGAAATATCGCCACCAAGCAGGACTAATAAATATACCGGCGGTCAAAACACTATTGGCACCGAGAAGTTGCAGTGCCGCCGACTGGTTGCATGCTTGGATGACGTCAGGGCAAGGATGCTTTGACGCTTCTCGTGGAGTGCCTGCATAACTTGTGCTCGCATCGTACCCTGTTCTGCTGTTGCCGATCGCTTTTCGCTTTACTCAAGCTTTAGGAGGATGACACAAACAGCATCGTTAAGGGCCCTATTAAAACGACGAAAAAGTCTTGTTCAGGACAATCACCAACAGTTACCGCGCTCCGCGGCACACACTTCGATCAGGTTTGTGTTGTCGCGCTGCTGAACTAGAGAATGGGTTGAATTCTCGACCGAAGCAGCCGCCTCCGGGCGTGAGTGAAGGGATAGAATATACCTGTGCTGGGGTACAAGGTTATTCTAGAACGTGTCCCGTATTCGAGTCGTGGTTTTTACACCATAGACGGCATAATCACATTGGCATTGCATTCGTCCCGAGCGTTTTTTTTTCGAAGGTATAATGTTTCCACTTCCGAAAGTTTGTAATCGTATCAGACACAAGCGCCTATCTGGCCACAGATATTTTTTTTGCCTGTGTATCTGCCTTTATGCACAACAGCAAAACCCATGCACTACTAATCTCCAAAGCGCTTGGTCGAGAATACTACCGCAGTTGTTGTATTTGTTTTCTTATGTACCAGCTCACTCGTCAGGCAGATTCATGTTTTCTAGCAGTAATTTAAAGGCTTCATCTCCCTAATAAACGAGTTGATGTTAATTGTGAAACCAGCATCGAACGAACGGCGCTTTTATACTCGTAAGTACAGGCTTAGATAGCCCACTCGCAAACTAATTTTCATTGCACTTTATTGCACCCGAGCTTCATTTCCTTGTATGTAAATATGATGTGCCACAACTGACCCGTACTCATTGAGGCGAAAACTGTTTAATTTTTATATGGACCACGTCACTGGGAGCACCATCAAAACAGTTCACAACGCTCATTGCAACTTTCAATCGGCATTATTAGCTTTGCCAAAGATGAATATCAATTGTGCTACCTCGTGAATCAAGTCTTACCGCTTGTGACGCCGTGTTTGATCATACTAGCAGTTCATGCAAATAAGATTATACTGCCACATGATTCTTGTGACTTGTTCTTTAGAGGAAATATTTACGGAATGCAAGTACGCTAACATTTCTGCGTTTCCCTGAACATTTTGTGTGTGGCTATACAATATTGTACAACATTCTGGATATATTGGGATGTTTTTATCCTACATTTTTATAAGGTCTCTTTCAACAAATAGCGCAGCTTTGTAAAATCACCCGGAAAATCTGCACAAAAACCACGATGTATAAGTTAAATTGAAAGCATTCTAATTTCATTTTTAATTCTACTGGACACATGTACTAATTGCGGAGTGCAAGCCAACTTGTAAACAAATTGGAATCTGCATTGTGAAGCCTTTTAGCGCCGATATTCTGGCGTAGGCTGTGCCAACAACAAATTCCTTGCAGTATTTCACCACCACTTTCGCAGTAAATCACCTGTTTCGATTAGAGCCTAAATGAGAATATGGAAACTTTCTGCAGCTCATAAAACTTTCGTCAGCAGTGTAAACAGCCGTTTTCTACATCACTAGATTTGCATCCCAAAAATGAGCTGTTATTACCGTCATAACAGCGGGAACACGGCGGGCGTAGAAAAAGGCGATACTAGGCCGCTGAGCAAGCGAGCCCTTGCCGCGAAGTCAATTCGCCCCGGATGCTGCACCACCAGTGTTCATTTTCGGGGCAAACAAGGTTTGAATTCAGCGTATTACTAATCAAAGATAAAAGAAAGCACACCGAGAGTTGGAAATCAACAGTTTTCAAGCTTCAGCATTTTCTCATAGTACAGTGACGGCCCATTTATTGAAAACTCTACTTTCATCTCAAAGAAACAACTAATCGAATGCAAGCATACTGGATAAGTCGAGTTCACCTAGTTTGTTTATACGTACCAGAAGAGAAACCGTGGTGGGTAGCGGGCCATGAAGGGCATGTAGAGCACTGAGCTCGTGCAGTCGACGCAGGCGAGTAAGAAGGCAAGCGCGATGAAGGCGACGCTGTGCTCGCCCACGGTGTGCCGCCAAAAGAACACCATCAGCACGCTCGCTGCCAGGCCCACGAACAGCGTCGCGTGCACCGAGGGACGGATCTGACAGGTAGATTGCATGGCTGGATTGAAGGCTTTGGATTTAAAGGTCTTGTCATTCACCAAAAATATCAATGATGCACTTGAGATGCACGTCTACACGGTCGTTTTGGCATTCGCATCAGTTAATGAATTAGAAAAATGGTGCTGCTACACACGAGTTGTGTAAAGTGCCTCAGCCAGTGCACGCATCGAGGTACCTAGTGTTGCGAAGACTGAGGACGCTGAGAAGCTGTTGGCGTTCTCCTCCTCGCTCCTCCTCGCTTTTGCATATGGAGTAGTGACCTTTTTGCTGCGCCGCTTCTCGGCGTGTAACTCCTAATAGGTCGAAAGCAGCGCAACATTGAGAGGGGCTAGAATAATATACATACTCTAATTTTGAGGACAGGTGTGCATGACAGCCTCGGGATACACCACTACCTACAGGTAAGCGATCGACTCCATATTCCATTATCCAAATTAAATTCTCTACCACTACGCAGCGCGACATGATGGTTTCTGTTACTTTTAAGTACGATTTAAAAATATAAACCCTACTCACACTGTGAAAAAATGCTAGACTCTGTGACTGTATTATATGGTATTTTTATTTCTACTAGGACGTAATCACACCTTCTGGTCAGTTGTCGGTTCTTAAACACAGCTCTCCTACTAAGAAGCACACGTACCACGTGATCAGGCACCAGTCATCGGCGTATAAGAGCGCGAAAGAAGCAACAACGTGGCGCAGACTTTCTATTAGGGCTAACAACATAGCCTATTTTTACGTCTGGTAGGCCTAAGACACCTCGGTGCCTCCAAAACGCGGCTTCAAGAAGGTCCCATTTCACATAACGAGGTGCTAGTCGCACCGAACAACACGGGGAAACTGTGTCACGGTGTGAGTGGCTGTTTGCGCGGAAAGCTTTCCTGGGCAGCAAAGCAAAGGCTACAGAGCCAAATTGCACGTATCATAGAGGTAATGATTATAGTACACGTTTTCTGCATGACATGTAAAAAGAAAATGCTCCTTCATTTTCCATATATAGATTTTTCAAGCAAAACATAGACACCAATCACATATTTGTTTGTATTTGTTTTACTTTATATCCCGCCACTTCGAGCTTTTTTGTAAGCAGAAAAAATCACGCCTTTTGGCCTTACTCTAAACACTTAGCGACGTCTGCTTCGAAATGCAACGCTCATTTCACGCACCCGTTACATTCTATGGTAGAGTGAAACACGCACCTAACCAGACTATTTCACGTAGCTTTCCCTTCATTGACCCGAAAAATTGCCCGCGAGTATATAAGAATTCGAAATAGCACTCGTCGTAGCCGACTTAGGGTGGCAGCACCTGCGCATGGAGCTGTGACAACGGCCAGACGAGAGTATTGTGAGGCCCTCATGAGACGAAGGCGTTTCTATTATACATAAATGTTTAAGGTACAACACAGGTCACTTTTGACACGAGAGAGAGATATACAGAGATATATTTATATTTCGCGGTGTACTATCAGCGTCAAATAAAACCCGAACAGCGGCAAACTTTCGCTATGGTAAAGTGCATGCCGTCCAGTTATCACGACTGATAGGCACCCGCATCCTGTTAGGCAGCACTACGCATACATGCGTGCCAGCCCATGGTGATAAGTGGACGGCGTGCACTGTACTATTCCGAAGGCTTGCCGATTTTCGGGTTTCACTCGACGTCGATAGTACATCAACTATACTGAATACATTTTGTACAAATGTGCCTACGCGAAGCTATTTCCACTACAATAGTTTAGCTGTTGATACCGAAAGCCAGTACACAAGAATCACTAGATTTTGTCCTAAGTGACCATTTTGCATAAAATTAGTTGCTATCAAGGAGGTAGAAATAAATCTTGTTGGAGTCTAGGCCACCTAAACATACCAATAAAAAATTGGGGGACCCTTAAGCTTCGCCTTTTAGAGTTGAACGCGATAGCGAAATGTGGCCCCTAGTGCACCCTGGAACCGCTAAATGTATACTTGTTCATATTGTCACGAGGTCGCGACGTATCCTAAGACAGACTTTGCGTTGGAATTTAACTGTTTATTTGGGCGAACCTGCGCCTGGTAAACGGAAAGTCCGATTACAGTAGCAGTCTTGGACTGATAGCGGCAAACGGAGCGTCCACCGTCGATAAACTACTGACAAGCGGCGAAGCGCGTCGGCATTTACACTCTTGCCGTCGAATGTTCTAGCGTTATCGCTGGTGGTGGCGTAGGTTACAGAATAATCTGTACAGTTCGCAGAGTAGGCGTAAACTTATCGGAATGATCTACTACAGTCCGGAAGCTTCTCGAAAACTGCAGCCGTGGTTTGCGCTGAGAATTGTGTAGTGTTTTGGGACGATAACAAAACCTAGGGAAATGGAATGTGGCATTGCTTCCCTCTGAAAACGGCCTCTTCCCGATGCTTTAACTAAAGATAAAGGTACAACAATAATGCAAGAAAGTAGAATGAATAAATTACGATACAATATTAATAATAAAGAACACTTGTTTCAGTTTGTCAACGCGCATGAAACGGCTTGAGGCGCGATACTTGGACGACCTCAGGTCGCGATCGGCGTCATTGAGAGTTTGTGATGCCGTCGGGGACAACCTCGTAATCAAGTGGGCCGATACGTCGAACCAACCTGTACGGTCCGAAGTACTGTCGCAGAAGCTTTTCGCTTAGTCCACGTTGGCGTATCGGCGTCCACACCCAAACACGTTCACCGGGCTGGTATTCCACGAAGCGTCGTCGAAGATTGTAACGGCGGCTGTCGGTCGTCTGTTGATTCTTGATACGGAGACGCGCAAGTTGTCGGGCTTCTTCGGGGCGCGTTGAAGGTACGCACTCACATCAAGGTTTTCTTCGTCGGTGACGTTAGGTAACATGGCATCGAGCGTCATTGCCGGGATCCTTCCGTAGACCGATTTGTATGGAGATATCTGCGTCGTCTTCTGCACCGCCATGTTGTATGCGAAGGTCACTTACGGAAGAATGGCGACCCACGTCTTGTGTTCGACATCGACGTACATTGCCAGCATGTCGGCGATCGTCTTATTAAACCGCTCAGTGAGGCCGTTGGTCTGTGGGTGGTACGCTGTCATCCGGTGGTGGTTTGTCTGGCTGTATGCCAAGATCGCTTGAGTTAAGTCGGCAGCAAATGCCGTTCATCTGTCGGTGATAAGGACCTCCGGGGCACCGTGACGTAGGACGATATTTTTGACGAAGAACTTAGCTACCTCAGATGCACTGCCTTTGGCAAGGGCTTTTGTCTCGGCGTAGCGGGTGAGGTAGTCGGTAGCTACCACGATCCACTTGTTTCCGCAAGCCGACGTCGGGAACGGCCCCAGTAGGTCCATACCAATCTGCTGAAAAGGTCGGCAAGGTGGCTCAATTGGCTGCAGAAGTCCCGCTGGCCTTGTAGGCTGTGCCTTGCTTCACTGACAGTCCCGGCATGTCCTCACATAACGAGTGACGTCGGCGGTAAGACGTGACCAGTAGTACATTTTTTGTATCCTCACGAGCGTGCGCGAAACACCAAGGTGCCCTGCCGTCGGATCGTCGTGCAGGGTCTGCAGGAGTTCTGGTAGCAGAGCTGAAGGCACCACAAAAAGGTACTTAGCTCGAAGCGGTGAAAAGTTTTTCTTTTGTAGAAGACCGTTTCGCAGGAAGAACGACGCAAGTGCGCGCTTGAATACCTTCGGGACTTCGGCGGTCCTGCCTTCGAGGTATTCTATTAGGGCCTTGAGTTCCGGGTCGGCCCACTGTTGTTCAGCGAAATCGTCGGTAGTTATCGTTCCCAAGAAGTAGTCGTCATCCGTGTCGTCGGGTGGTGGTTGGTCGACAGGCGCACGAGAGAGACAGTCGGCGTGGGAGTCTTTCTTGCTGGACTTGTAAATGACAGTAAGGTCATATTCTTGAAACCTCAGGCTCCATCGTGCGAGGCGACCTGAAGGGTCCTTCAAGGTGGCTAGCCAACACAAGGCGTGGTGGTCGCTCACGACTTTAAAGGGCCTGCCGTAGAGGTAGGGGCGAAATTTCGACGTAGCCCAGATGATGGTGAGGCACTCCTTTTCTGTTGTGGAATAATTGGCTTCTGCTTTGGATAGTAATCAGCTGGCGTAACTAATAGTCCTTTCAAGTCCGTCAGCCTTCTGCACAATCACGGCGCCAAGACCTACGCTGCTTGCGTCAGTGTGTATTTCTGTCTCTGTGAATTCGTCGAAATGGGCAAGTAACGGAGGCGTCTGGAGGCGATGTTTAAGCTCCTGGAAAGCGTGTTCCTGCGCCATTTGCCACTTGAACTCCACGTCGGCCTTGGTAAGGTTAGTGAGAGAATCGGCGATACGGGCGAAATGTTTCACGAACCGCCTATAATAGGCGCACAGGCCCAGAAATCGGCGCACTGCCTTCTTGTCAGTGGGCGGCGTGAAGCCGGCGATGGCGGCTGTTTTCCGTGGATCGGGACAAACTCAAGACTTGCTAATAACATGCCCCAGAAGCAAGAGCTCCTCTTACGAAATTCTGCACTTTTCTGGCTTCAGTGTGAGTTCTGACGTCTTGATGGCTTGAAGTACAGCCTCAAGGCGCCGAAGATGCTCGTCGAAACTCGAGAAAAACATGACGACGTCATCCGAGTAAACTAAGAAAGTCTCAATCCTGCCAGTACTGTATCCATAACGCGTTGAAAAGTTGCAAGCGCTGAGCAAAGAACGAAGGGCATCACCTTAAACTCGAAGAGACCGTCCGGTGTTATAAACGCCGTCTTCTCTCGGTCTCTTTCGTCGACTTCGATTTGACAATAGCCAGTCGTGAGGTCCATTGACGAAAAGTATTTGGCGTTATGGAGCCGATCAAGTGCGTCGTCTATTGGTGGGAGAGGATACACGTCCTTTCTTGTGATTTTGTTCAGGTGGCGATAATTGACGCAGAAATGTAGGGTCCCATCCTTTTTCTTCACTAACACCACGGGGGATGCCCATGGGCTCTTGGACGGCTG